ATCTTAGCCCAAGATGTCACGCGGAAGTAAAAGTGTCACGGAATGACCGAGGGGAGGTCAAATGGACTACAATTTGCATTATCATAAAAAACCATGAACTTATCTCTAGGATTTGTTGCGATCCGGGTGGCCATCTTCTGCAAACCATATCAATAGAAACCTCTCGGCAAGGGGCATAACATATCAAAATTTCAGCTCGATCCCCTTCATCATTTGAGAAATATGAGTGTGGGAAGCTTGCCCAATTTTGGGGCAAAGTTGCAGTAAATTGCTATATTTAGCATGTAGAACAAACCATAATTCTGCATCCTTTCCCTTTTTGGAAAGTCAGGCCTACAGAGCTCTGTTTTGCTTGAAAATTGAGAGTTAAGGGTTTTTGGACCCCTTGAACGCATTTGTGATGGTCCAAAGACCATCGAAGATTGATTTCAGGGGTATTTATGTAATTTTATCCCTTCTTGACCATGCAAGGGCCGTGTATGGTACCCATTATGTATTTTCTTGTATCGTGACCCATTTGATCTGCAATTTGAGCGATGCTTTGGGGGTGATGATATCTATCTTTATGTTTCTTTTGGGGCCGATCTGGCCCGTTCCAGGGTTCTTTTGCTCATAGGCTGTTATTTGCGCTCCATGGCACTTCGAGACCGGAGAGGACTTCGTGAGCCATGGTTTTCATTGGACAGCTTTATAAACTGTAACAGCTTTTCTAATTGCTATCGCTTAAGGTCTTTCCGATACATATTGAACACATTATTAACAATTCCCATAGAGTCTCGGTTTTCAAGTTTTCTTATATTTAATAGAAGGGACCCCTTTCTTCAAGAAAAAGAGACCCTTGTACGTTGTGACTTTCTCTCAAGTAGAAATGATGGTTCAAGAGAACTTTATTGCAAATTTGATCCCATGCAATAATTTGAGGATCTGTTACTAGGGCTTTGGCATTTCTACTCATGCAAACTTGTTTTTCTATGTATGTTTTTATCATATCTCATGAGGCTGCAGTACAGAGGGTTTATGCTGATTTTCCCAAAAAAAAAATACTCAGCAAGTGATTACTAAGAATTTCATCCAAACAATGTTTTCATAACCCAGCTACTACCACCTTGACCCAAGCCTGATTCCTGTCTATGCTTCCAACTATCGAAATCAAGACCAATCAAACCCTATCATTTAAACTTAATGGGCGAGTTCATCTAGCCACGTTCACTTTGGTGGCTGAAGTTATTGGTTGCTTCAATTGGATCTTCAAAGTCCTGCAGAACTTCTTCACACTAATCCATGGCTTTTGAGTACCATTAGCTGGAGCCTAAATTGGAAGACCGACAAAAACGCACGTTGCTCTAGTAAAGTTCATGAAAATCCAACACTATGATTGGTAACTGTTCTTTACAATCTTCTAATGGAGTGTTCCTTAAATTGTCAGAATTGCTAATTCTTTTTGCTTACTGACTCATATCTTTAACAATGTACTTGCATATCCAATCTCTCAATCATCTATTCATATGTCGAATCTACTTCACGCTCCAGTTTTCCTACAAACCCTGCTTCTGTAGGTCAACTTGTGGAAATGAGCATTTTCTTTCTTAAATCCTTAGCGTTGAGATTGGCACTGTGACAAGCACCCTCAAAGAGGGCATTAGAGATGGGTGGTAACCCTCAAGGTTGCTCTGGCATGATTGATAGTCTCACAAGTTGACTCGGTAGGGCTGTAGAAGTTGTTATACCACATTTATTGTACATCAAAATATCCTCAAATCTAAGGTGCAGACATTTAATATGCAGTGGTTGCCTCCACCTATTGGATGGCTCTTAATATTGACGGAGCCTCATCGGTTAATCCAGGTAGGGCTGGTTGTGGAGGAATTATTCATGATCAAAATGGGATATTTTAGCTGCTTTCTCAGATCCCTTCAAAGTAAATACGAATAAGGTGGCTGACTTCCGTACCTTGGGAAGGAATGCAGCTGGTAGCACAAGCAAACTGTAGAAGCATTGAGATTGAAAGTGAGTCTAAACTTGCTGTGAAGCCGATGCGAGATTCCATGGTAACTCGTTGGAGATATCTCTTGAGCTCCGAACTGTCTTTCTTTGCTTTGTAATTACCAGTGGACCTTGAGACACATCTATTGTAAAGCTAATGAGGTCGCGGAGGTGTTGGCCAAAAAGGGTGCAATGGTTTCAATTGCTACAGTATGGCAAACAAGACTGCAAGACTTCATTTCTGTCTTGCTGTTTTCTGATGTCGCAATTATTTCTCATCAAAGGATCTCTTCTTGTACTTGACGCATCATATTTTTTATCAATGAAAACGGGTAGGGGACAGACTTGTCCAGCTGATTTACCCAGAGAAGAAGAAAAAAAAATTAGGGAAATCAATGAATCGCAATACCTACAGTGCCTCTAATCCCTAAAACCTTGCTATCTTCGCACAGGAAAAGCTATCCTTGAACCCTAGGCTATAAATACGCTCTTACACTACTTCTTAGCTCTTTTGGTGATCATTGATTATCATATTGAACCTCATTTGTCTAATAAGCTTCCTCCCATGCCTGCAGGAAATAGGCATTAAAAGAAGAGATTTATACCCTTTAAGAGAAAAGGTATTCAAACTTCAACTGGGGAAGAAGATTATCAACTGTTGTCAGAAAAGATAAAGAAAAAAAAAGGTAGAAGGCTAATAAACTATTCGGTATTCAAATCCAAGATCAAAGCAAATCACAATATAGGGTACTACAAAGCCTAGTTGTTCACTGGCTGTGCTCAAGAGAGAAGTTTTACGATGAGACATATTGGCCCAAGGCCAAGACGAACACCATCTACAAACTACTATTCTCTCTTGACGGTGATTGTTGTTGCAGCTGACATGAAGAATATTTTCCTCCATGAGGTTCTCACTCACCATGTCATCACTTCATTCATCAAATTGAAAAGGATCTTTATTGACTCAAATAGACCCCTAGCACACATTTCGAAAGAAACTTCCTGAAATCGTTACAGTTTTCAGATACATTGAATTTTTTTGTTCACACATGCTCCACTGATTGTGGAGGACATTGTCAACTTTCCTCTATTTCTTGTGGAGGAACTTGTCATTAGTGGCTAATGGTTATGATACTTAGGCCACATTGACATTTAGACAGTCACTTCAACATCTATTTTGCTAGAATGCAGTTATTGCACACACTTCCTTTTCTCCTCGAACATTGTGGCTCATACTGGCTTTGATGAAGCTGCCTATCATAGTGAATGCTGGTAGATCCCAAACTTCTGCATATTTATCCACGGCATTCATAACATGGAATAATAAAAAGTGAGAACACTTGCTCGGATCTTATTTAGAGCCCATGCATAAACTTGTTATTTAAATTTCAAGCTTCAGAGCAAGGAGGTTTCATGTGAATTCACATATGACAAATCGTATGGGCCTGACCACCGTGCAAAGAAATAGGCATAATCACAAAAAGGTATTTTCTAACCAAGCTGAAATGAAAAGTTCCCTTGTAACAGTAATCAGCAATGTGTAACAATTATACGAATCCCATCATACAGATAAATTTGTACCGAAGTTATACTGGGCATCCTACTAAAATTACAAAATTTTGAATAAATTTCAATACAAAAAATCTATAATTTTGCGACACTTTTCTGCTCATCTCCTTGAGACAAAATATTTATTTTATTTATTTAAGAGTTACTATATATTCTAGAAATCAACTACTATGAATCAGGTCATACTGAATTTGATTTGCTATCCTCACATCACAAACACACAGTTAAGTACGAAATACATTCAACCAAAACTAAACTATTTAATGCTTCTATTCTAAGGCACTAGTCTATAAATCTCAAATGTAACCAGGAAGTTGAGAGAGACTAGTCCAAATACTCTAAAAAAAACCAGGATGAAGGCCAACATACCTAACAGCCGAAAGATGCTATCTTTATAGTGAACAAAAATCCAACAACCTCTATGTTCCTTTAGATAGTCAAAATTCCTACAAAGACTGGAATGAGATCTTAGCTACAAAGATAAACAAACAGGTTCATCCGCTCGGTTTAGTGGTTAGCTGCTAACTTTATACACCCAAAAAAACGATAACCCAAGAAGGAAATAAAAAGCAGCACATCACTAAGGAGACTGTCCTCTATTAGATAGCAATCAAGCAACCATTGCGTTAGAATTCCAAACAATTTGCAACATCTAAGATGTTGAAAAAAGGAATATGCGTGTCCCATTGTCTCTACTTCATCCCCTAGCTCTCAGCCCCCCGCCACCCCTCCTCTCTCTTCTCTTTCTCTCTCTGTCCTCTCTCTTATATAAATCAAAGAGAATGCCCTCTATTAGGTAGCAATCAAGCAACCGACACAAATTCAGCCCTTCCATTCCACAGTTCTGGTTCTTCCATTCAAACTTTGGATTCGCGATTAGAATCCTCAATCAACTAAGAAACATAGATAAAGTCCTAAAAAGCTAAAAGTAAAAAGAATCATGCGTACCTTAATCATACCCAGGGCCATGATTTACTAGTTGGTAGCTCATTCTTTTTCTTCTCTAAGTAATTAAATTTCCTTAAACAAGCCAAAGGCAAGAATTGAGTTCTTCAAGAGACAGAGCTAAGAGAGGATCACACTCTCTCAAATGCCATAAAAGCTTGCATACACAACAAACATGGTCCTATAGCAACATCTAGACCCAAAACTCTTCTTTGATACCCCCAATTCACATCAGAACACACGATATACAAATCATGAAATTAATATAGAAAAGGAATAGAAAAGTGATCTCTGCAAATGCTCCCCTGTTTGAAGTTCAAAATGCAAATGTCACCAAACCAACTCTTTTTCGTAGTTTAATCTGAGGAATCTGAGACTGACGCGAGAGAATACAAAGGAAAAAGTAAACACAAAGATTTTACTGAGAGAGAGAGAGAGAGAGAGAGAGAGAGAGAATTTAAGAGTACAAAAGATGTAAGTCTTAAATAAGGAAAAACACTTACAGTAAGCCAGCTTGCCTATGCCTGGGTTCAACTGGAGAAGGCAATGCACCAGAAAGCCCTCTCATCCTGATTCAGATGCACCAGGTGAAGGCACCATCTAATCTATCATACACATGAGGAAAAACAAAACCAACAAAATCATTGAGAACCCAAAACATAAAACGCTATAAAATGCACAACCATAGCTCTGAAATCAATAAAAAAACTGTTTCTTTTTCTTATTTCAAAATGACCCACCAACGAATGATAGTTGTTCAACTTCTCCAAATGAATTAATAATCTAGAGAGAGAGAGATTGATGAAAACTGTAAACCATAAAACATTATAAAACTGCGCCCATGAGCTTAGAGAAACTCAAAAGCTAAGAAATCAACGCACCCAAATCACTCTGAATACGCTGAGAGAGAGAGACCCAAGTCATAAAACAATATAAAAGAGACACCCCATATGCTCAGAGGCATTAAAGACTGGGCTCATCAACTCACCCAGATGCCAGTAAGAATATGTAGAGAGAGAGAGGGCAATAGAATTTGAACTTGGTGAGAGAAAGACGAGTTGGGAAGCTTAATAGGCGTAGGGAGTCAACTGAGGAAGGCACAGAAATAGTAGAGAGAGAGAGAGAGTCTGAAATTCTAAATTGAGTGCTTTGCTCAAATGGCTGTGAGATGTAAGAAAACAGCACCATATTTGTAAACTGGTTGAAAAAAATGGGTACCTGGTCAAAATCCCAAAAGATTATAAAACTGAGGTCATATGGGAAAAGTTGATATTGAGCCGAGGCTCTAAACGATCAAATGAGAGCCTCCCTCAAATATTTCACCGGAGGAAGAGGTTGTTGTGATGCCCAAATATATTTAAATTGATCAGCTGAGAAAAAAATGAATTTTAAATTATAAAAATAATTATATTTTATAATATATTTTTAAATATTAATTTTTAAGATTTTCAAGTTTTCATAGATTTATCGATCTACATTATTTTTGAAGCTTTAAACTTTATAAATAAAAATGAAAATATATTTTAAAGCTGTTACAAAGATTTTCAGTATTAAAATCACATTTCTCGACACTTTTTAAAGGAGGTCTCGACACTTTTTAAAGGAGGCTCTAATTTGATTGTTTAGAGCTTAGGATCTATACAAACCGTACTTTTTTATTTATTTATTTTGAATTATTTTATTGATTTATCAATTAATAAATTAATATTTTCGCTTTAATTGGGAAAAAATGACAACAATGCCCATTAGCCCCCTTCTTTATGGAAAGGTCCGACCCCCTTAAAGAAACCCAAGCTTTTCTACATTGACCAGCCTAGCCCTTTTTTTGAAAATTGTCCACTTTACCCCTGATTAATTGAAATTTAGAATGGTAAGCTTTGTCCTCCAAATTTTGCCCCTTCCATGTTGTTTCTCAATTTTTTTCTTTTTTTGTAGGAACTAAGTCATCTATTTACATATCTTTGGATTACACTTGAACTTTTTAGAAGTAGACCATTTTATCTTAAATTAATATATTTTACATAATATTATTTATATCAATTGTTTGATACATACCATGCGATTTTTAATAGAAAAAAATAATCAATATCATAATTCGTATAGCCGATCCCAGTTAATTAAAAAATAACTACCATCGTACCATGTATTATGTAATATATTATTTAGTTATTAGTCATAGGAAGCTCTTGCAATTCACTCCTCTCCCTAGGTAAATAGTATCGAGCCAGATACTGAGTAAAGTATAGATAACTTCTATAAGACAAATTTATATATGGATCTCAAAATGTCTCTCTTTTGAATTATTCATTGCCAAAAAAAGAATAGCCCATTATTATGATTAATGTGACTGAAACTCCCAACATGTCTGTCTTTTGAATTGGTTGGACTACCACCGAGAGAGTAATTAACATGAAAGAAATCCATGGATCAATGATTAGATAAACAAAAATACTCCTCACTTTCACATAAGTTTTCTCTCCGGTTCCTAAAAAATTTCAAAATTTTACCTATGGCAATTCATAGAGAAACCCTCGGCAGCTGATGTAAAAACATGCATGAAAAATTTAAGGCCGCGACAAAGTTAAAAAAAATAAAAAAATAAAATAAAATAAAATAAAAAGAAAAAAAAGGAAAGAAGCTATGGCTTGGTGGGCAAAACCGACCGCCCTAAACCCATGGGTCCCAGGTCACTTTTTATTGGGGCTACTAACTTATTTTAAGATAAATGAGTTTCATGCTTCAAGTCTTTTTACAAAAAAAAACCAAAAAGATAGTTATGAAGCAATATTCCTAAATCTGACCAATTTTAGAAACATGATAAGTGGGGAAACTAACAAAAATACCCCAAAGCCTTTTCTATAATGATTAAGAGACATCAACCCCTTCCAAATTCTCCAAAATATAGAGGTTTCAAAATGACAATCATATGTTAATAAGATTGCTAAAAACTGAGCGATATTTTATGTTCGTGCATTTTAAAGTACGCTATCTCATAAGCAAAAGTCACACATGGAAAAATGTGTTTGACCTTGAGTCATAAAATAAGGTGTACCTAAAAAAACCCTGATAAAAAGGAGTGTTTTAATAACTCTTAAATTAGTCGTCTCGATCTCGAGGTGCATGAATGTGGAAAAAGAAATGATTTTAAGTTTTTAAAATATTGTATTTTGATTTTAATCATCAATTTTTAAGATTTCTAACTTCTTGTAGATATGCTTGATTGAAAATATTTTTGGAGATTTAAATTTAATAATAAGAGAAAAAATAAATTTTCATGTTACCCTATGAAATTTCTGCATTGTCCAAATGGGTTTCGAGAGCACAGTACTCTAGTTATTTATAGATGATATTTAAATAAATTATACAACCGACTTCAATTAGTTGAAAAAAAAGCTTTGACGACAATAATGATGATTTAAATAAATTATACACACACAAAAAAAGGGAGCAAAATATAAACCTTGGGAAAATAAGAGACAATTTTTTAGACATATAACAAGTTTGGAGTGCCTTGGATATCTTATGACAAGTTAGGGGTATTTATGATAATACTAAAATTACATATAAAAACAATACTAAAGTTACATAAAAATTAATATATAAAGTAATTTTGCTTACCAAAATTTTTGGATGAGATGCTCAAGTATGCAATGTTGGAAGTAAGAAAAGATTCAAATCATGTATAACTTCCAAGTCAATTAAGAAATAATTGACAAATGATAACTTCTTACTTAATTTTAAACGTATTTGGTTCACCAAACATGTCAAAATCAAAATCATGTTTTGCCATGTCAAAAGTTTATTGCATTTTAAAAAATTGGCTTGTTATTATTATTATTGTTTAATTGGAGTAGCAAAGAAATATCAAATTGATATACCATGCTTTTTGCAAGTATTATTCCCCTGCTTTCCCCTATTTTTGGAATGTTCAAAAGTTGCCCATCATGTTTACACGTTATAGAGAACACTTCGTGGCTCTTGTTGCAACTCATTGGGAAATCCATCTTTTCTATTCAAACCTTAATAATTGCAAGCTCCTTTTGGAAAGAGAGAGCAAATATCAAAAGTTTATTGAGGCAAAAATCAAATGCCTCTTTTTAGTGCATATCTTTTTTTCTTTTTCTTTTTTTTTTTTTTTGTAATTTACATTCGAACGCCAAAAAAAGAAAAAAAAAAGAAAAAGAAAAGGGTAAATTTTACGTGAAAATTACATAGAAGGTTGGTCAAGTGCCCTAATGTGATGGGCAACGCCAAGTCTAGAAGGCAATCCGAGGTTGGTATCTTCGGACCGCCTTATTTCTTAGCAGGTCTGAAGATGTCATCCTTGCACCGTCTTGAAGAGCACCAGAGAAGGGGGTCCGAGAATGGGCAGCTCGAACAGTCTCTAAATCCCTAACAAAATCCCTAACAAAGTTAATCTTTGTGGTCAAGTGATACCAATCTCGGACCGCTTTGTAGAGCATTGATGCTAACATTGGACTGACTTGGCACTTCCCTAAATGTTACGACACAACCTATTATTGGGAGAAAAAAATGCAGTCTGAGGATGGTATCATCAAATCAAGGGGGTAATTATTAAAATAAATAAATAGTTTTTTTTTTCACTCTTTTTTCTTTTTTAGGAAGGGGGAAATGAAGTGTTTACTAATGCTTCTAATTTTGTGGATTATAGAATTTAAGATGAGCATTTTGTTTGGTTGTGTTGGATTAGTTGTGGTGCAGAAGGGACATGAAAGGTGCAGAGTCTGTTTTAGGATAAGGGCGGCACGGCATCATGGCAAGCGTGATGGGAGCCTTGCACCTCGAGCTACGTCTCTTACGTTATATCCATGCACTTCTCTTTCTAGATTTTATATCTTCTAGAGAGCGAGGGACACTAAATTTTGAAATGTAAGGAAAACATGCTTAGAGAGAGAGAGAGAGAAGATCTCATGGTTAGAGAGAGAGGCACTAAGGTTTAAAAGGTAGGGAAAAACATGGTTAGAGAGAGAGAAATAATCTTGCTAGGTGGTTATAGAGAGAGAGAGACATTAAAAAACAAGAGAGAGAGGCACTAAGATTTGAAAGGTAAGGGAAAAATGGTTAGAGAGAGAAGATATCATGGTTAGAGAGAGAGAAAATGCCATGGTTAGAGAGAGAGGCAATAAGGTTTAAAAGGTAGGGAAAAAAATGGTTAGAGAGAGAATCTTGCTAGGTAGTTATGGAGAGAGAGAGAGGGACATTGGAAAACAAGCGAGAGAGAGGGGGGGACAATTAAAAAAACAAGAGAGAGAAAGTGGGGACATTAAAAAACAAGAGAGAGAGAGAGAGAAGAGCAAAAATGGAATGAATTGGTGATTGGGTGTCCCACTAGTGGAAGGCATTGGTGGTAATAGTAGAAGAAGAAGCGTAGAAGCAGTGACAAGATACCTACGTATGTGTTGCTTTCTTTGTTGCTATTGGCTTGGAAGCAACGCATGACTACCACCTTTCAATTTATTTTAATCCATAGAATGTTTCTCTTATTTAAATCCATGTAATGTTTCTCTTGGGCGAAACTTTCAGTTTCTTTTTGAAGTTTTCAATTTTCAATATTGTTTTGGGAAAACTATAGATACCTCATTGCCCCCCATGCCCTCCCTACGTTGGTAAATAACACCATCAAACCCAAAATTTTCTAATTTTTTTGCATCTATTGCCTAAGAAAAAGATAATTTTATTTAGGACAAAATTTCCCCCATCACAATGCATAATTTTATCAAGAAAAAAAATCAAAATGGGGGTGGTTTTATTTTAAACAATGTGTCGGTCAGGCATATATTATATTAGAATGACATCATTATTTAAAATAAAATCGGTATGGTATAATATGTACTGGATCGATACGTTGTTCAAAATGAAGCCGGTTCGACGTATTGTATGCAAGACCCACACATAATTTAAAATGACACCGGCCCCGGAAGACAATGTGTTGGACCAGCTTCCAGAAGCTGATCTGTCACATGTTGTGCTGAACTGGCATCATTTAAAAAACAAGATGCGGTGAGCAAAACATGCATTATAGGGAGGGTATTGTTGTTCTAAAAGAAACCATGTTTTTATAGGGAGGGTATTGTTGTTCTAAAAGAAACTATGTTTTTACTTGGGGGGTTTGGTACATATATAGACAATTATGAGGTTAGTAGTGTGGTTTACAATGTTATGTTTAATTTTTTTTTCTTTTTTTT